GGAATTGGTTTCCAGTGCTAAGTGGTAGCTGTTTCTGCTTGGAAGGTGGTCAGTTGGTGGTCAGTTGTAGCCACAGCTCTCTCCATAGAGAGCAGCAGGCAGGACTTTTCCAGGCATTTTCCTGGGGAAGACTGTGAGAAGATTAGAGAAAAGAATGAGAAACAATTCTTATCTGCACTTGCTGACCCTGTTGTTGTGCACACATGGAACGTGTTATGGAGATTTGTTTACCAAAGGTGATTTATTAATTGGACACTGGTGATGGTGTTTGGATTGATTGACCAATTGGATCAGTCTGTATCAGACTGTCTGTAAGGATGATGAGTTTCTTTATAAGAAGTATAGTATAATATAGTAGAATAAAGCGATTGATCAGCATTCTGCAATCATGGAGTCAATGCTAATTATTACCCAGCTGGAGGCCTGTCATGACACACTGACACTTACAAATTCCAGAAACACTCTTGTTCATGGCAGCCTTCGGAACTGCCTTGTTCTGCAGGCTGGAGTATTGGTGCATTCTCTTTTGTCACATAAATAGGAATGTCCTTCTTTACTGAATCTATTTTCTTTTAAACCAAAATTTGAGGTGTTCCAAGTATGCTCTTGCTTGGGGCGTAACATCTTCAGAACTGGCAAAGAAACCTTTTTGTGGGTGGAAGGAAAGATACTTGCTTCAGTTAGCATGTTTTGTGGAGGATGTCTAGGTCGTAGATTTCAAAGTAATGAGGAAGTTAGAATTTTTAAATTAATGTTGTCCTCTGGTTCTGATAACTCTGCCACCTGCTTTTGTGTAGTTAAAAGGAGGGCAATATTCCAATATTACCTTTTTCCCCTAGTCTGACTAGTTCTCTTGTTTCTCATCTACAGCTATCTTATGACAAAGCAAGGCCATACATAAAACCAAGGCTCTGCAGAGCACTTTCCTGCCTTGAAGCTCCCAGAAAAAGGCCCTGCATTTGAACTGAGCTTGTACTGGACCTGAGCATCCCCTCCACAACTCTAGAAAACCTGACATCACACATGGACATTCATGCAGGGAGGATCTTTGAGAGCTCTTCTGAGGTTTTCTTTTGAAGGGAGGTGCTGTAAACTTAAAGTGTTGGAAAACTCCCTCTTTTTGTTTTGGTTGTTTTGTTTTTGGGTTTTTTTTTTTAACTTAATAGTGAAAGGTCCATTATTGTACAGTGGCATACCAGGGAAATGGAGCCTGGGCTTCACAGTTATTCCTATTGCTGGAACAGCTTTGTGTGATGGGGATTGAACCCACCATACTTTGTAAGATTGTGCTTGGGATAGCTGAAATACCAGGCTCTTTCTAAGGAATGAATTGCCAAACAGTGAATTTGACACTGTGGCAGGATAGGTTTTACATTTTTTTACATATTCGAGTTGGAATACATTGAAAGCTATTGAGTTACTCTGGATCTACACGTGGGTAGTGAGCTAGTTAATGTCAGTTGTTGGTTTTGGTAGCATTTGTTTATAGGCTTACAAAAATTTTTTTGAATTTATAGGATAATATTGTGATTATCTGGGAGCATAAGGAGAGTCATGGTGCTTACAGGCATGAAATACTTGTTCAATTATTCAAGCTTCAGCCCTAGTTTTTAGTCATAAATTCTAGTCTTGTGTTGGCAAGAAAAATAAGAGGACAAAGTCCATTAGAAGCAGTAGGTGAAATGTTCTAATGGTAGTACCTTCGTGTTGTAAACCTACCCTTTCTTCCACACCACATTTCTAACCATCAGGCTTTAATCTGCCTGTGTCTGACATAAGGAACTTGAGCTTCTTCAGTTTTTCTTTACCTTGTAGGCACATGTTCTTGCCATTTCTTAACTTCTGGTTTTGGTGAGATAAACAGGTAGATGTGATTACTGTAAAAGCTCTAATTTTCAGTCCTCCAGTTACTGGAATCACTATTTAAATTTACTTTACTCTTCCATTCCTTTTTATGAAGAGTAGTTGTCAGAACTGGATAAGATATTCCCATTGCTGTTGGTGCACCTCCCATGTTTTATTCAGCCAAGCCCTTCAATCATAGTGTCTTACCCAACATCTTCATCATCCTCTGCATTTTTTTTTACATCTGTTTTGTCATAGGACAGAGTGCTGCATTCTTAAAAGTATTTTTTCAATGATTGCTGGACTTTGGCTGCAATAAGACAGATTTTGTCTGCTTTCATATAGACTGCTTTCAAAGTTTATCTTTTTTGCTTACTCATATGTGATCTGTTTTGTCATAGGACAGAGTGCTGCATTCTTAAAAGTATTTTTTCAATGATTGCTGGACTTTGGCTGCAATAAGACAGTTTTTGTCTGCTTTCACATAGACTGCTTTTGCTTACTCTAATGTGGAAAGCCAGAGCACCAGGAATATTTGTCTGTCTGCTCTGGGGTGCCCTGACCCTCAGGGGAGCACTGACTTTGACCCTCATTCATGCAGAAAGTTTCCTAGACTTCAAGATAGACTAGAATCCACAGAAGTGTGAAATAGATTATCTAGAGTAGTGTATGTGTATCGCTTGGTGAGAAATTTAGGTTTTAGGATTTTTAGGATGTTGTAGATGGAGGGCACAGGGTGTCCTCCTTGGGTGCCCTGACCCTCAGGGGGGCACTGACTTTGATCCTCAAGTCTCCTAGACTTCAAGATAGGCTAGAATCCACAAAAGTGTGAAATGGATTATAAAGAGTAGTGTATGTGTATCGCTTGGTGAGAAATTTAGGTTTTAGGATTTTTAGTTTGTTGTGGATGGAAGCAAGATGGAGGGCACAGGATGTCATCCTGGGTTTCTTCTTAATGTTTCTTCTTCCTTCTTCATCGTGGGTTTGAGTGGCATTTGTAATCTAGGTGTCCGTTCTTAATTGGATAGTTTAGTCTTAAAAGACCTTGTAACTAGAGATTGTTAGCCATTTTGTGCCTTCTAATGAAGAGCTGCCGAACTCAGAGTTTTCACTGTTTTACTAATAAGAAATATTAAACACTTGAGTCCGAACATGAACTACTCTCTCAAGTGCCTTCAATCCAGGCCCAGAGAAACCAACAACTGGTACCCCCACACTCACATGAGCTGGGATCTTCTTAGGAGCCCGGGGGGTTTCTGTTGACTTCTAATAACATTAACTAGTTCAGGTCTGAGAACATATTTTTGTACACACTGAATAGAATATACACCATCATTAATGATTTTTCAGTTACAATCATATTACAGGATCGACTAGTTAGCCAGCTTTATATTAGAATCAACATGTCATGGAGTAGCCAATTCTAATATATTACAGAGCATTTAGTAAATTGCATCAACATTATCACTTAAAAAAAATTTATTCTATTGTTTCCCCCAGGATTGGTGACATAGAAAGCAGGCTTATAATTTGTTTAGTGGTAATTTGGAAAATATTGGTGGGGAGCTGGCATTTTACCAATCCTCTGCAGTTTCCCAGTTTTTCAAAGCCTTATTAAAATTTTATATTGATGGCCAAGCTTTTCAGCTTTCCCAGTTTGGAATGGTCCCTCGAGAACAGATTGCTCAGCCAATATCTGTGAAGTGGGAGACCTCTGCTCTGCAGCTTCAGAGAGTTAAATTACTCATCCCTGCCCCCAAGTTAGGAAACAGAGGCACAGGCAAAGGTAGGTGACTTTGACAAAATCTTGTTGCCAAGGAGCACTGAGCCCCCTGGTGTGACCAGAAACAGCCCAGGCACCCTGGGTAGCTCCCTTCTAAACAGAAGAACGCAAAAAGATCTGAAGGTGCAAAATAAAGCTTATTGGTTGTGCCACTGGCCAAAGAGTGTGAAGCCCAGCCCTTAACAGCTGCTTGAAGGGAAAGGATGTCAAATTCTGCCTCTTCCTGATGCAGTTGCAGCCTGTTACTTCTCTGATCTCCAGGCTGGGCTTGCAGCCTTGGTTCCTGCGCATCCGCTGTGCCTTCAGCCCCGTGCTCACTGAGACAGAAAGTGCTCAAGTGGTGGCCCTGTCACGTAGCATGCTCTGAGTTATGTAATCAAGTGCTTCATAGGGGTTTAGAACTACCAGTGCAGAGAAGAGAAAGCACTAAATGAAATGCCTGTGGAGGACAACAATGAATTAGGTAATCTATTAAATTTTTCATCTCTTGAGTCTGTTCAAGCCCAGCAGCATCAGAAGCAGTATAAGTCTGAGAATTCAGAATCTTAAAATGAGAAAGTAATGGATGAAGAGCTCATTATAAAACAGATATACATGAAGCTGTATTGCTTTCCCCCCTTTTTTTTCCTTTCTGAATACAGCAGCAGGACTTCTGTTCACCAAACTGATTATGTGTCCACCTTGGGTTTATCAACCTCCTTGCATATCAAGCTGAAAATTAATCATTTGCTAAAAGGAAAGTATTTCCTATTAGGGTGGATAATGCAGCATGAATGAAAGATATTTTACAGTCTTGCGTAGCTCGGAAAGAAGCAGAGTGATTTTATTTAATATAGGATTAAATCAGACTACAAGAAACATCTTGTCTTAACTCTTCTCTCCCCTTCCACATTGTGTAATCAAAATTTAAACGACTGTACATGGGCATAGCTTTCTTTATATTGCTGGAGGTGAGCTGAGTCATAACAGCAGAAAATAAAATCCTTGTGCTTTATAGTAGGTTTGCTACTTTTCAGTGGTTTCAGTGGTTTGCGTTGTTTTTCAGGACACCATTCTACTATTTGATAGCCTAATATATATTGATGAGAGGGCGATAATAATATTCTACTATCTGCTTTCTCTTCCTTACTTATCATCCTCTTGTCCCCTTGTTCAAACTTTTTATCAGCGTTTGAACAGGGAAGAGGAAAAATTGTCACATTCTCATCCTGTTATTGAAGTGCAGAACAGGGAGAAAAAGGGTTTGTTTCTGGCTCATTGCAAAAAATAAACTAGATGTGTGGTAATTCTGTCACATGCATTTAACAGAGTGCCTCTATTTGTGTTTCTGCCTATCTGTTAGAGGGATGCTTGATGCAATTTGGGTTGATGCAGACTAGGTGGAGTAAATCTGAGCTGGTGGGGTGAGCAGCGCAAGGCTGAGGAAAGATGCATGAAAACAGACCACAGATGGGAGAGATAAACAGGATCCCTGGGCTGTGACTGAGGAGGCAGGTCTCTTTAATGGCTCTTAGCAACGCCCCTGCTCTGACCCTTCTCATATGTGAGGAAAATCAAATCAATACACTGTTCTTCACGATGCTGCAGCAGCAGCAGGGCATTGTGGCAGCCTTCGTCTCTTAAATTCATCTTCGCTTTTCAGTGTGCTGATCTCTGGATATCCATCCTTGCATCTCTGCTAAGGAAGACTGACTGCATCTTTAATCGGATTGCTGAGCTCCCATGCACAACCTTCTTCTTATTAGAAAGTATTAGGTAGGCAATTTTAAAATGCTTTTGGATTTGCAGGCAGCTGTAACATTGATCTGACAACCCTATTGTATTCTCTGTAAACATAGCAGAATCTTCTCTTTAAAACCTACTGTGTTTTAAATTTTGCTTTTTTTCCCCTGTTTTTGTGGTTGGGCAGGGGGGACTGCTGTTTTTTCCTTCCTTCCTTTTAAAAAAGATGTAGCTGATTTCTGCTTTTGGAAAAGGATATTCCCTCACTGATCCCTCCCCTGTTCTGTGGAGCTATAACCCGGTGCCATACAGTTACTTGCAGTGTTGATGAACATCTGTTCAACTGTTTAACATTTAGGGCAGGCTGCTCACTCTTTTATCCTTTAATTTTCCTGTGCATACTTCAAAGGTGTGGACTGGGACTGTGCCCACTGAGTAAGTTCTGCCTTGTTTCCAGAGATGGCTAACAGAGGACCAAGCTATGGCTTAAGCCGAGAAGTTCAGGAAAAGATTGAACAGAAATACGACGCAGAATTAGAGTCTAAGCTGGTGAACTGGATTATTGTGCAGTGTGGAGAACAGATAGAGCACCCTCCTCCTGGAAGGCAACATTTTCAGACCTGGTTGATGGATGGAACAGTGAGTTTGGTCCAATTGCCCGCTTTCATGTTTTTATCTGCACAGTGCTCCTGTGTTCTGTCTTCATTTAGATAAATTGATCAGAGCTCATGGTCAGTGCAGAAATATATGTCTTAGTATCTGATTTATTTCCTTTTGACCAAGAGTCTTAATCTCAGAATGTAAATTATCTTACTAGTGCACTGAGATCAGTACAATATTTATGATTCTTATGAGTCATGCATGTTTTATATATAAGTATGACTCATTCCTTCAGCTTTTTCTCTCATGCAGTTAAATGAGATCTTTTTTTTAAAGCAAAATGCATACTTTTATCTTAAAGAAATAATCAGTGTTGACAAGGAAAGGCAAAGATATATAGCACATTTGAAGGATAAGATTGTGTCATAACTGTCTTTTTGGGAATAATTCTGTAGCTAAAACATTGTATTCCATTGCTTTATTGAACAACAGGTAGATGCTGCTGTTTGCAGTGGCTGTAAGACCATGCTAGTCATTGAATCTCTGCCAAAGTGACTTTAACAACGTTTCAATTGACATTGCTTGTTTTTTGGCTTGGGCATTAGGCTTCTTCTCTGTCAGTTGTTATATAACCTCTACCAGTGATTGCTTTGTTGTTTCTAGCAGATTAGGATTTATATGGTTATGCTTTTTCTTCAGTTAATGAAAGCTTTAGGCTTTTCTAATATACTTTGATTATTATAAATTTCCTTTTTTGTTTTTAGCTGAAGAAATTATGTCCCTAACAGAAACTGGCCAATCAAAAGCATTTTGCTACATCATTTCATGTGCAGAAATTGCCTTCTAGTTCAGTGCCTGCTTTCTAATTTTGTTTCTGTCTTTATCTCTCAGCTGTTATGCAAGTTAATAAACAGTTTGCATCCAAAGGGAAACGAGCCTATTGCAAAGATCTCTGAATCAAAAATGGCTTTCAAGCAGATGGAACAAATATCTCAGTTCTTAAAAGCTGCTGAAATCTATGGAGTAAGAACAACAGATATTTTCCAGACAGTGGATTTATGGGAAGGTAAAAATAATAAACTGAAAGTCAGTTTATAATCTTTATTTTACTTTGCTTTGATGTGCATTTTGTCTAGGCATATTCTCTAATGTAATTATCTTTTGTTTGTTTGCCTTACCTCATTACCATGTTCTTCCAGTGCTGCATTATTTCCTCTGAGGGATTTATATTACCCTGAGGGCATAACAGAACGTTTCCAAGCTCATGTGTTATCCAAAACCCCATCATCTGATAGAAATTCACAGACCTAATAAAACAACTGTTCTCTCTGCTAATTATTTCAAATTAAATAGCTCCTAATAAGAACATGGAAAACCCTGATTTTCTGATGACGAAATTTTATTGCAGTCTTCAAATTATAAGCAAAGGTTAATTTGGAGCTAAGAAATGCATTCTCAGGAGCATATGTGCCTCTGTGAATCTTATGGAGGTTCATTTATGACTAGTGAGAAACAAAACTCACTGCTTAATGCTACGTTAGCTGACCTTTCTCTAAGGAGACAGTCTTTTAGGAGAGGTCACTATGGCAACAGCAAAGAAACTCAGGGTGCTCCTGTGGTTTTACAGTAAGGCAGGTGAAGTCTTATCATCCCAGGCTTGAAATGGAAACTGCTTGTTCTAGTTGCTGAAGAGCTGAGTCATTTGTGCATTCATGGGGCTGGTTTTGCCCACTTCTGCATCCCGTCCTGGTGCTCTAATCAAACACACTGCATCTCCCTGGACAAGGTGATGCAATGCTTTGGTTGAGCACTCAGAGCAAAGACAGCTGCAGAGCAGTGAAAGGCGCATATGAAAGGGTCAAAAATCTCCAATGAGAATCAAACAGTGGAAAGAGGAAAATAATCCACTGAGAAAGCTGGCCAGCTTAGTTTGTGTAGGAGTACATATCAAAAGAAAAAAGTGGGGTATGTTTTCACAGGCAGTCAGAATATATGTGGAAGAGATCACTCCTCTGAAGGACAGCTGGAGAAATGAAAGATGAGGGAGTTCTTCATGAATGGGTTATAGGAAAAGGACATACTGACAGTGTTACTGGGATCTGTAAATGTCTCAGTGCCAGATTTGCTTGACAAATCCATACCTTTGGCACAAGGGCAGGATTGTTTCTTCCAGTTCAGTCTTTAGTGTTTTATGAAATCTATCTTTATATGTCTTAAATCAAGGGATTTTCACTTCCCTGAAGTAGCACCTTCCCACCCCTCAGCCTAGCAGACTGTTGAGAGAGAAGCTGCATCTAACTTGTAAGGGACGATAATCACTCATTTCAGATGTTGTTCTTTACAGTCTTTTGCAACTCATAATGGCTTCCTACCATGCATATGAAAATATGGTACATTGATCCTTATGAGGAAAAGGACTTGCTTTGAAGACATAATGCTCTTACTGCTAGTGGCTGTCTCCTAATTTCCTCTCACTCATCACCTTTTCTCAACAGACATAAAGTGAAAAGATAGTAACTTCTAGAGGACAGGAAGTCAAAACACAACTTGCAAACTAGCAGGAAGACATACAAGGCTTTTCTTCACTGCTATTTTAATTCTTCCAAAAGCTAATCTGTGACTCCTCACTTTCCCACTCCCTTTTCATCCCTTCTGCTGCTCATTCCAGTGCTGGGATGATATAATATGTCTCTCCAGCAGTGAGAGCTCTTTGTGTCTCACTATAACTCTGACCTCTGGCATCTGTGCTGCTTCAGGGCTGAATTGTCTGAGCAGGGATGCCTTAGCTGGGCAGAAAGGACAACCTCTATTTCACTATTTCATAATTGCAGCACTCCTACACTTCACACCATAATCTCTTTAGAAAGAGAGATATCAATGTATGTTTATAGGGAAAAAAGTGTGTGACTGAGAAATAGCTTTCCCCTGGCACTAATTGTTTTCCATGAGCTTTTGCTTTGAAATTCTTAGCAACGATTAATGAAAATATTTTAGGATATGATCTGCTGTTGTCTGTTTCAAACTCACTCATTCCATCTGTTGCACTTTTCTTCATCTCTTTGCCTTCTTGATCCAGGGGAAGTAAGTACCACCTCCTTATGGCCCCTTCTTATATAAATGTGCTGTGCTGAGCAGCTTTTCCTGATCCACACCCAAGACATGTTCACTGCCTTTTGCAGATCCGTCCTTGATATATTTCCAGGCAGGCAAGAGGCAGGTGAACCACTGGGTATTGGTTCAACATTTACAAAAAAGCATTTCAGGAGTACTTTGCAGAGCAATTCTCCATCTTTTTGTTTGAACCTTCTCCTTTGTGGATCCGGAGAGGAGGTTCTTCCAGATAGGTTTCACCTAAAGAGAAAGGCTTGGCACAAGAAGTGAGCAGAAACCCCCTCCTCCTTGTTTTAAAAACAGTGCCAAGTTCTTCTACAAGGCTGTGTTATTCAAAGCACACTTCAGAAGACACTGAGATGCAGGCGTGTCATCAGGATGGGTCCCTGCAATGAGGCTGAAGCTGTGGGCCAAGTGGGTGGCCCACGTGCCTGTCAATAAACAAGTACTGGAGCTGAGGGAAGGCACTGACTAAAATTTGCTGCAATAGCAGAGTCAAACTTCAGCTTCAGGGAAGGGGTATGATCCCTTCTGTCAGGTGACTGCAATGGAAATTTAAAATTTTTCCCTGCTTTTTTTTCTTTTATGCTGACCATCAAGCCCTTTGTATTCTTTGCTGAAGGAGGGCAAGTGACACAAGACCACTTGGATTCAGGTCTTCCCTCACCCACAGCACTCCTCATATGCAGCAAGGAGTCTTTGAAGAGCAGAGCTGTGGCTTTGTTTTGTCACGCGCCATTCAGCTCCCACTCACTCAGGTTTCCCCCTGCAGCATCTCCCACTTGTCACTGACAAATAAAGCAGAGCTGAGCACAGAGCGTGGGGAGGCTGCCAGATGGCCCTGCAAGGCTGATCATCATATTTCACTGCCTGTCTTTTGTTCCTTTTGCTTTTTTTCCTTTGCTTGCCATCATTATTCAGCTGATTCACTTTTCAATCCTTCTCCGCATCTCTTTTCATCCCAGGCAGTCACTGCTCTCCTGCTATATGGGAGGCATCCCAAGGACGTTGTATGTGGCATCTGTTACAGCATATGGTACATCTGCTGCTCCGGGAGTTCTCAGGGCTCCTGCCTCACCCTCCTCGGGGTGCGCATGGGGAATGTCGGCTCTGCAGCCGCCCTCCCCAGCAAGGACCCCTCTGATGCAGTTTGCCTTAAATACAGTAAAATGCATCAGTTCTGGAGGGCTGACAATTTATTTTATGAGCGAATGGTCCCCTGCAGATAGGAATTTTATGAACTGTAGTAGTCTGTATGACAGCCACTGTTGGAAGCTGATAGATGTTTTCAGCTTTGGTGTGCTGTCCTCATTTCAGCCACTGTGTTACAGAGCCCTAGACTGCATCTGCCTGCAATCAGGGTGACGCACTACAGAAACACAGGGTTTCTGTAGTGTGCACTGCTCCCTTCCCTCTACACTCCAGCTCATCTCATTAATACTGGTCCACTGGATGTGTTTCTGAATTCTGTTATCATCGTGTCTCTGGTGTCTCCTTTTTTCTGAATTATTTGTTTTCACATGTGAAGAACCAGAATCAGATTTGTTAACTTGATACATTACTTTAGGAAAGAGGAAGAACTGGAATGAAAGAGGCAAGGGGAGTAATAGAAATGCTTATGGAAGGATTTAGTAAGGGAGAAGCAAAAGGCAGATTTCCGATAATTTACTACCTTACACAATTGGAAATACCTGCTTCAACTTATTTTTTGCTAGAGGTAAAAGGTAGCATGTCTGGATTGGGTAATGAGTTATGTAATTTCTATTTGGCTAAAGCTGAGATAAGCCCTGACTTTCTGAACTGAGGAATGAAGTAAATAGCATGAGGAGAACATGGAAAAATAGTGGACCAAATGGGAGAAATTAAAGGTATGAAACTGAATAGCATCATATTAAGTAGGAAGGTTTAGGAAGGAGCTTTGATGGTTAATTTGGGAAGGATTGATAGAATTTATCTGCACAGGAGCTCCCAGAACTGCTGTGAGCTCTGTTAACACAGGGATTAAACTGACTGAATAAACTGAGACTCAGAACTGTTATTTAACACACTATTCTCCTTCAGCCACATTTTACTGAGTATATTTACCATTATTTGCATACCAAAATAATCTCTGCTTAGGAGAAAATTTTGTCAAACGGATTCTATAGACTTAAAATGGTATGGAGGAAGGCATTAAAATAATCAAAGGCCTGGAAACCTGGAAATGCCTGAAAAATTAAGTTTTGCTTTAACTCCATCCTTTTGTTGACTTTAATAAGCTCTTGTATGTCAGTACTTTCATTTCAGCAATGGTAAAATAGCATTTATAATTCTATTAATGCATATCTCCAGGGACCTGGGGGAGTTAGTTAATACATCAGATAAAACTGGTTTTCACTGTGCCAAGCTATTTGTTGAGCAAGGATTTCCTACATTAATTTCACTGTCTGGCTTTCTAGGGAAGGACATGGCAGCAGTGCAGAGAACCTTAATGGCTTTGGGCAGTTTGGCGGTCACCAAGGATGACGGCTGCTACAAGGGAGATCCGTCCTGGTTCCACAGGTAAAGTCCAGAGCTCAGCTGCTCAGAGCTGCCTTCCCTGGGAAGCTGGTAATATCATCTGCCTTTAGGCTTTAAGGAAATTTATTGGGAAAGGAAGGGAAGAATATTTCCCAAGTTTCCTTGTAATAGGGAGGTTTTTCTCTGGAGGCTAGAGAAGGGCAGCAGGAAAAGTGTATATTTGTCATCAGGTTTTCTCTCTCACATCAGATAGCAGACAGAAAGACTAAGGAATGCAAGGCTGTTAAGGATGTCTGTGAACCCCCAAGTAGCAACCCCTTCACTAAGCAAAGAGAAAGCATGAAGTCTCTTTACTTTTTTCATCAAACCAAAAATTATTTAATTTCTTAGGCTTCTTTATTCTTGGGAAGCACTGCTTATCTGTGAAGAATTCTCTGTCTTGGCAAAGCTGTTTATTTGTTCTGAAATTCCATTTATTTTGGCTAGGGAGGCTGTAAAGCAGGGACAGGAAGAAAAGGAAATCCTCCCACAGTTACTCTTCTGCCCCACTGTCATGTTATTGACATAAGTTTCTAGCATCCAAGAGTATTTCTTACACAGAAATATCGAGCACAGGTTAGCAAAAAGAGTTGACTGCTTGTCTTTTCTTTGCTTGAATTTTCTGATGTCTAGGTGACGCTCAGCAAAAATAAAACAAACTTCACTTTGTCTTAAACCCTGAGCTGGTTAAACTGAATCTGAGATTTGAATTTTAGGTGAATAAATGCAAACTCCTATGCATTGTTTTTATGAAATCAGGTTACATTAACTTAATACACTGCACACATAGATTTATATTTACAGAATATAATTAGGTTTAAAATTGATTTCAAATCCAATTACATTCTTTAATATAAACCAGACGTGAAATCACTATGACCCAGACAGGCTTATTTGTTTTATGTAACTAAAACAAAGTTCCACAGGGAAAAATTAATTTTCATCTAGACTCTTAATTGTGGGTGGGAACAGTTTTTGTTGACATGGATGAAGATGTGATCACCTCTCTTCACTTCTGTCTGTCTGTCCAGCCCATACTACTTGCATAGCCAACCCATATCCATTGCAGTCCCTGTGAAATACCATGTTACAGTCGCTGCCTTAAGGAAAGCCAGTGTTATGGCATGTTGCCAGTCAGGAGCTGCTTCCTGAGTAGCTTCCCTATCCCTTCAGGCAGACCAATCCCCCTCACCACCACCCAGTGTTACTCATAATTCAGGGCTTTCAGGGTGATTCTTAATCACCTTAAGTTGAATTGAGAGACCAGTATGGAATGGCATAAGAGTATCTGTGCAGGGATCAACAGCGATTAGGATAATGCCACACTTGCCCTAAGCCATTTAACTTTCCATTGCCAGCGTTTCACATTCCCAGTGCCATCAGACTGATGTCCCTGTCCTTACACAGCAAGATTCATGGATCCATAGCTGTTTATTATTCTGTGGCTTGGCAAACACTAGCACTAGTGTAAAGTTGGCACAAAAATTTTACAGATCTGATGGGCTCAGTTTTAGGTAAGAGTGATGCTGGACAGGCCAAACAGAACTTGACATAGTATGAGACATGGCAGGTGAGTAGACTTGCCTTCGTCTCTTTTCTTAGTCTCACTTAAGGCCATTTCCACTCATCTAAAAACAAATCTCATACATGTTATCCGTAAGACCATCATATACTAAATGTGGGGCTTGTGATGGTAAAAATAACACTCCAAGCCATATATGATCCAAACCTATATGTAATGTAACTTTTATTAGCCTATCCATGCTATTCTTTAGTATCTCCTTTTATTTCTTCTTTGCAGTTCTCATTTTTTTCTGTGTTTAATTACTTTTTGACTTTCTGTGGGAGTACTCATCAGCATAGCAAAAAATTCTAGGAGGAAAGAGAAAAGAACAGTAGAATATTTTCCTGCTTTTTAAATTAAAATAGAGGCAGACACAGTGAACCTGAGATTCAATTACGTAACAGGAGTTGTTCTAAAAACATCCTCTCATGGAAATCCTGGCAGTAGTTTGCTGCCTGTGTAAGTATTCTGGAAAAGGAATTAAGCAGCAGTGAGAGAGGCCTGCTTTCTGAGGCATCACAGTTCTGTGTGCCTCCCCCAAAACAGAGTTTTTTCTGGCAAGAGCTGTGGGATCTGAGAGCCTGTGGTGGGCCTCTATAAGCCCTCTTACTAGTTTATACTTCACCACTTGAGGACTCATTCTGGAAAATGACTGATCAGTCCTGGTGTCCTGTGGATCTTTCTCCCCCTTCCACTTTGCTGGGCTTTCATGTGGATGTGAGTTCATCTCCCACAATTTCCTGAACACCCTGAGCCTAGCAGCGAGTTTGAGTGCTTTTTTAGACTTGAGCCAGGGTTGTCAGCACAGTGCAGGATCTGACTCTCACAGAGAGGATCATGTTGATGGTTTTCAATCACAACAGGTACCTAACCTAGTATTCTCATCTAGTGAAGGGGTGAGGAAGAAGAGGAGAACTGTAACTCAATGCCATATTGCTGCGTAACCTGTAACCTAATCACAGGACAGACACAGCAGGGAAATAGATTCTACCCACGTGGGAGTAGGGTCTGGTAGATGGAAAGCCTCCCTCAATCTGGGACTCTGCCAATTCATATGGTTCATTTGATAACAACAGGCTGATCCTTCTCCAAATTGCTTGTTTTCCCCATCTATTAGAAATGAAAGATGAATCCAAGATGAACAGTTTCTTGCGAGGCAGCAGAGTGCAAACTTCTCTCCTTCTTCTTAGCTGCCACTTTGGCCTTCAGTGCTATTTGCAGAGAGAAAAAGGCTTCTTTTATGCTCCAACAAAGGTTCATTGATCCAAAGGGCTTTTGAGACCAGCGACACTGAACAAAAGTGGTCAGTATGTTTTGACAGAAGATAAAGAACTGTCATACATTTAAGACACAGGTGCAAAGGGCAAGCCTATTGCTTAGGAGGTGAGAGATCTGGAAATGGCAACAAGGCAAACATTCTGTCCTGCTGACAACCAACATCCCCTCTGCAAATGTGATCAAGTCCCTTCTCTGACCCACTGCTTCTCTGGGTACACTCAGCTTTTATTTACTCCACTGACTGAAATTACACCAGTTTTTACTGTTGTTCTAGATGGATATCAACTTGTCGTACAGCACAGGTAAGTGTCTCATGGATCAGACCCCATGGACTAGAGCTGTTAAGAGCTATAGGCCTCAACACAAATTAACACTATTTTATGTTTTATATATAACACTTCATGAATAGTTTACCTGTCACAGCTTCTGGGGAAGTCCCTGGGGGTTCTGCTATAGCAGGGACAGTAAAAGTGTAAAGTACTGTAGGTTTGACTAGAGCATTACTTCTGTCTGCAGGAAAGCAATTAGCCCAGCCAGTATTGCCCAGCACATGGGATGGGGCAAATGACTTAATGTATTACAAAGGATATGAGCCAATTTCAGATGGATTTTCATGGTTATATTCCCTGTGTGATTTCATGATCCTACACAGAATGATGATATGTATGTATGTTGTTTTTTTGTGTGTATCTGGACAGGAAAGCACAGCAAAATCGACGAGGATTTTCAGAAGAGCAGCTTCGGCAGGGACAGAACGTAATAGGCCTTCAGATGGGCAGCAACAAAGGAGCATCACAGTCGGGCATGACAGGCTATGGGATGCCAAGGCAGATTATCTAAAGGCATCTCTGTCTGTGGAGAAAACACTCCTTCTGCAGCATGGTCTGTTAAGGAAAAAAAAAAGAAAAAGAAAAAAAAAGCTTATTAGTTCCTCTGTTAAGGGAAAAAAAAAAAGAAAAAGAAAAAAAATGCTTATTAGTTCTTTTTCTGCCTGGTTTTTAATAGTTAGTGCTCTCTAAGGTTTGGGGTATTTTTGGTTTGGTTTGTTTTCTTTGCAGCTGCAAGAGTTTGCCTAGGAACTTGGGTTTTTGTGGTGGTGTGTGTCAGTTCACAGCACGTGCGCACTGCTGCCTCCTACTTTTCACTTCTGAACTATGCAAAGACAATTATTCTGTATTAATTTATTTGCAAATTTCCATATTTGTCTCACACTGCACTTGTATTTCAACCAGTAACCTCGTTCTTCAATCAGTGATGATATTGTTTGACTGAAGAATAAAGACGAAATAAAGATACTTCAAAGACTCATTACTTAAAGGAGGTAAAAACTGAAACCAACAACCACATGGTACAGTGCAGATGAGTTAAATATTTTCAATGGTCAGTCTCTCTCATCTCTAACCCAGAGCGCTCTCTGACTCCCTGCTATAGTGTTTACAGTCAGTGTTTGTCTAAAGGCACACTCAAAGTATTTTCCTAAAAAGAAGAAAAGATTTATTATCCACTGAGTCTGATTCATGTAGTCCCAGCCAATTTAGCTCAGATTTTTCTTGACCTAGTGTGCTGGGTCATCTGCAGCCCACAAATTTGTGGAGCAAGCTAAAATCAGTTTTATAGGGAAAGCAAAATCTGTGCATAAAAAGAAAGCAAAGTAAGGATTAATTCACTATTTCCCATTGGCAGGTAGACATTTATCCAATTCCTGGAAAGCATGGCCTCAGCATGCATGATGGTTACTTGTCACCACAGTTATTCCCTTCTTCTTCTTCCCTGAGCTTTTGCTTCTGACCATGACACAATGGATATCCTTTGGCCAGATGGGGTCAGCTGTCCCAGCTGTGCATCTCCCAGCTTCTTGCCCACTCACAGCTGTGGGGACAGAATGAGAAAGAAAAAAGACCTTTGCACTATGTAGGCAGTTTAGCAATAGCCACTACTCGTGAGTTATCAACTTCTTTAGTCTCCAGTCCAAAGCACAGCACCCAGCCAGACTCAGTACATCCACCAGCAGGTGAGTCTCCAAACTTAGGGAATTCTCCACTGTGAATGAACAGTCTTTCAGACAGAGGTGAGAATAGGCTTCATCTTGTGATAGTTGCTACTACACCAAGCAAAGCACAAAACAAGTTGTGTTTTAAACGCAAAGCAAGAGATAGAACGAAAGTACCAGAATGCTTCTGACCTGAAAAACAGCCACAGTTCAAATTCAAATAATCTGTTATGTTCATTTATGAAGGGCTATAAATGTGGCTAGTGGTTTGGAGACAGTTTGCTGGATTGTCAATAAAAGGAGTGGCTGATACAGTCACCTAGCCACCAAAGGCTACCAGAGCATTCTCTGAGTACTTTCTTGCCAGTCAGCACAGCTGCCTTGGGGCTGTGGCCCCCACACACTTGAGGGGTGCACACTATTTTCTATGCAGGTTTCCTTGCTATTGACTGTCTCTGGGCTTTCACTCACAAAGCCCATTCACCTCTTCCCCACAAGCAAGAGGGAAGGGAAACATGATAATTTAACCCTTTGGGTTCTTTGGTTTTTTTCTTTTTAATTCATGACAGTCTTCCAAGAAGGCCTGAAAACATAACATCTAGGCAGGTAACAAATGAAGATTATTCTGACAGCTCTCGGAGTGCCTACATGTATAGATGGAGTGATTTCTCTCTGGCTTTGAATCCAGTGACACATGCTGACAGCTAAATGTTTACTAAGTAGCCCTAGGGCCAGCCACACACATGTTCATGTGGCTTCAAATATTTCTACCACTGAGTAAACTGAAAAGATGGTTCCTTCAGCCCGTGGGGAGCTCTGTCTTCCCTGTCAGGAGAAGAGAATAACATCTCCCCGCTTCAGCCAAGCACTGCATAGAAAGTGATGTGAAGGTCATGTTGTATTGTTGGGGATGAGTGGATCTGCAGTAGCTGCCACTGAAAAGGTGCTGTCCCCACTTGTACCTCATCTTACAGCTGCCAGTGCATCTGGGCTCCTCCATTGTCCTACCGTCACACTGGGTTTTGTTTACTACCTGTTCAGGGCTATTCTTCTGTTATTTAGGTGAATTAGCTCAGCAGAGGAGCAGATGACAACTCCAGTGGGTGCATCTCAGACAGAGGAGCTCACATTTCAGCTGTGGCAGGGCAGTAGTTCAGTGCAGAGTATGGTACATAACTTCCCCCTAGATATGACATTAGTTGTAGCATGAAGAGACCAGCAGGTTTTCTTACTAAAAACAAATAAGCTGATTAAAGACATCTGGGCTGATGGTAAGACAAATGCCTGCCACCAGAAATTTCACCTTGGTGAGTGTGAACAGCTGCCACCATCCTCTAATAGAAACTACAAAGTCATAGCCACAGTGGGCAAAATGGCTGGATGGGAGGAGCTGGAAGAACTGCCTTCAGTTCCTGGAGTTCTTGCCTCTACCTCTCCAGGTAAGAGGTCTGAGAGGTCCAAACCTGGCCCTTTGCCCCACACCACCCTCACAGGGGACACAGCCTGGAGGATCCATCCCAAATTTGGTGACATTGGCCTCCCCTTTCTGGCTGCAGAATTTTCATTTCATTTTCCATTCATATGTCCTCTCTGAAAAGACCATTTTTAAGAGTTACATGGCAAATTCCCAGGATATATTGCTTTCTCTTTTTCTGATGCTAACAGTCCCATTAAAGTTATAGAAAACATTGTCTGCTTGCATATTAAAAAGAAAAAAAAAGAGTAAAAAAAAAAATGTAACCAACTGTATTAGGGAAAAACAGCTAAGTGTTCCAAGAAAGACAATTTATACCATGTAGCTCCAGACACAGGACCTGGTTGAGTAGGAACAATGGCCAAAAATACTGATTCCCCAGAATCTTATTTTTGGCAACCAATCCCCAAGATAATCACATAGTCTTTCATTACCTTAATCCATCAAACTAATCTAGCTGTTAGTATCTGGCAGTCAATGCTGCAAAGTATACTTTATTCTGGGAGTTAGCTTTATCCTTTTATATTCCCATATGACAGATATAGAAATATTAATGTTATTGTTAATTAAATGCTAACATGCTAATATGCTCTGGCCTACTAATATTCTTCTATTAAAATATCCTTACTACTAAGTTTACAAACATCCTAAGCTAAGAAGTAAATTAATACAGTACCAAGTTAGTTGCCACCAAGTCAACAGAAGACATCATCACTTTTCTTATATTAGCAATAAGCTATTGTAAATTTGCTTCTACTGCATCAAAAGCACCTATGCAGGTCTCCCAGAAGGCTAATTAATTTATGGACAACCTTGTGTATTGTTACTAGTTAAAAGCCTTGATGTACATTAGAATAAAGACATACAGAAGTTTCGAACACTAAGGGATAGAGTGTGTGTTTGGGAAGAGGGGTTTAGGGTGTTTCCTTTCCTAACTCTCTAGTGCTTAGGGGAGGCCCTTTGCCCCCAGATGATGAACAGCAGATGATGAACAGCATCTCACTGAAGGCTTTGGGCTCAGGTATGGTGAATGCTTTGTGGGGTGCTCCTGGGACGAGTAGAGAGATGAGAACCTTGACTCCATGTTTCAGAAGGCTGGTTTATTAGATTATTATATATATTATATTAAAGTGATACATTAAAACTATACTAAAATAATAGAGAGAAAAGGATTCATCAGAAGGCTAGAAAGAACAAGAATGGAATGCATAACAAAGGCTCCTGAATCCCCAAGAGTCTGAGCCAGCTGCATCTGTGATTGGCCATTAATTAGAAACAACCAACATGCACCACTCACAGATGCACCTGTTGCATTCCACAGCAGCAGATAGGTTTTGTTTACATTTCTTTCCTGAGGCTCCTCAGCTTCTCAGGAGAGAAAAATCCTGGCAAAGGATTTTTCATAAAATATCATGGTGACAACACAGTCGGACAGCAAGGACAAGCTAAAATAAGATTCCCCGCACACTGCCTATAATCCTGTTTGAAGCCTGGTTGTAACTTGATGTAACTGCTCCAAGAAAGGAATGGAATGGCATGGAATGGCATGGAATGGCATGGAATGGCATGGAATGGCATAGAATAGAATAGAATAGAATAGAATAGAATATTTTTGTGATTACAAATAAAAAACATTGTAATATCATCCCCTACAACAGCTAGAGAAAGTCCCATCAGAGCAGGCTGGACCAGAAACATGTTAAATATTGTTACCCTTGAGCTTCAGTTCGCCATACTTGTAGACAAGTAAATGACATTTATCTACCTTTATAGAGGTTTTGAGACCATGACCTCATTATGGACAATTGCTAAATAATTTCTTTTTAATATTAAGTTGGCATCTAATGGCCTTCTGAAAGGATGCTCAACAGCTGTGTGAGGGAGGAAGAACTGCATACGTGAGTATGGGATCCAAGTTTATCTCCATGTATGAGAAGAGCAGAAAGAAAATACAGTGAACAGAAAGTAAGTATTAAGTTCAGCCAGTTCAATTGAACTGGAGTTTGAGGGCTGTCAGGCTAACATAACAAGATCTGTTTAAAATAAATACTAATGAGGGTGAACAGCGTGAAGAGGCTTCGCTCTCCAGTAAATCATCCCGCAGCATCACTTTCTAAAATGCCTGTGCTAAACAGCATCTCCCACACTCAGCAGGGATGATAGGAGAAGGAAGGTGCTCTTTGCAGCAATAGGCAGCAGCAGTCCTGTCCCTTTCACCTGGGAGCTGTCTGTGTGGGCTGTTCATAGGCCACGATACATTTGGACCAAGGTTTCTTGTTTTACTGACTTCTTAGGTCCACACAGAGCCCTCAAGGAGCAAGGATAAGGACTCAGGACATAAAAGTTTAATTTCTATGTCTGTAGATTGCATTTGGCTCTGGCTGCATTGTTGGGATTGGCTACCTCCATTCCTCTAATGGAAAATACTAACAATAGTGGTGGTTTGAACAGCTCAGATATTAATAGCATTCCTGATATGGTAATGTCTCCTAACTAGAAATAAACTTTAAATATGTTAAGAAGAGAAGTGAGCACCTTTAGAGGAAAGAAATTCAGTCATTTACTCTAATACTCTTCTGTGATTGCCATGGTAGGTCCTGAGCGATGGAGCAAGGAGTTACCAAGGCTGCAGAAAAGCCTGTCTACACAGACCTTCCTATAGCTATTTGTCTTCTATAAACTTTAAGAGAAACATAAAGGCTGATCATTTTAATGCATGCATGAGCTACCAAAGGAAACAATCTGTAACACCATAAATTAAGGCTGTCACAAAATAGACAGAGTAACAGACAATTTTATCAACATGAGTTTTGTGCACAGTATGCTCTTGA